ATAAACCCCTCTTTTAGCTCAATGATCAGACACCTAAGTGATGAAACATTGCACAATCAGTTTTCCAACATTGACATCGAAAATATGTGTCTTAATGCAAGTTTTACTTTGTTTAACTGTATTGTATAAGTTAGATCACTAGTTGGATTGCCAAAAATTAATAAAAAAAAGATAATCCTTACCGACGGACCCTATTTTTATTAGGACTGAAAGAGGAAACACAACATTTTTTCCTAGGCCTTTGTGACGGAACTAAGAAAGCAGGATACATTGGCACACTGTGTTTCCTGCTTTACAATATATTCTTTATTGACACAACAAAAAAGTACCGGGATTTTTGCATGGTCTTCTACAACTAAAGATCTAACAAAGCTAAATACATGTTTGGATGACGTCATCATACGTACAGAATATATGTATGCGGTAACAATAAAGGTTAACTATTCTCTAACATGTGGTCTCTAAGATCGAAACATTCTTTAATGTATTTTTCTATTTGAATATCTATAGGAACTAACGTATTGAAATCAATTGAACAAGCGGAAAGAAAGGTTAACAGCAATAGGCGCCTATCATTGTATAGTGTACAATCCATTATAAAATGGTGCTCATTTTCAATTATATTTGGACCAAATCGACAGAACCTTTGGTCATTTGGTATTTTCTTGAATTGACCCATTTTTATGGGTTCACCACACCACGAAGTGGTGGTGAACCCATATTGCTTTTTCTGATGGTTCTTCTCCTCCTTCTCCTTCTCCTCCTTCTTCTCCTGCCATTTTTTAAATGGATTCAGCTTCTTCATTTTAGGGCCTAAGGTCCTGAAATTTGGTATGGAGGTACAGTGGGCAAATACCCCTAGGTGTTTTTTAATTTTTGTGATACAGGCTTTTAGAATGGTTTTATTTGAGTTTTTTGGCTGTGTTATATCAAATGTATTACTGTGTTAGTGTGCCGTGTTTACCATGAGTCATCACAATGGAATGCAGGGCATCAACCAATAGGCATGCAGCTTTCCTCTATACTTCTTGCTGATTGGCTGTTGGGATTTAACTTGATTAACACCTGCACAGAGCATTTCCACCTGCACAGAGCATTTCTTGCTGATTGGCTGTTGGGATTTAACTTGATTAACACCTGCACAGAGCATTTCCATACTGACAGTATGTCTTTATTCAAGTGTTTTGGTAGGTATTTCAAGCTTTTCTGCTCCAGCATTGGAATGCGGGGCATGAACGTTTTTTATTTATTTTGAAAATCAACAGTTTGCATTATGCAATTAAAAATCCTAACCAATAAAATAGGGAATAGCTATCCAACTGTTGTTTTAGTTGTATGTTACTTCATATTATAGTTATATCAATGTAAATCATTGTTTTCCCTTGTGTTTCTCATTCTTTCCCTGCCATGTCGTAAAATGTGGTGAACCCATCGCTGTATTTGCTCCAAAGCAAATATTGGCCTTTCTAGTTATGTTTGATTTATGACAACTACTTCTTAATTTTGTGATCGCTTTTCGGATATCTAGATTGTGTCTACTTGAGAGGTATTGTTTTTGTTCATAATTTTCCTTTAATGCGGTATAAACAGAAAGTTTTGCCTTGTTACAAATAGAATTATACCATTTTATATATATGTATCTGGAAGGCGGGATCGTAATTGATTAGTTATCGTATCCACTTGAGCAACTGCAAGCAATTATATCTCAGACAAATTAAAGATGTAAAGCAGATCTGGGAACGAGCAATAGGAATAAATCGTGAAAAATTGGATAGATAAAGTTGTTTTGTAGAAATACGTGCTCCTATTGGCTCTCGCTATTAATGAAAATACATTGACTATATATAGACAGTAATACTTGATTGATGGTAAATGATTGATCTAAGAGCGTTGGTAACAGCTATCCCATCTTGTGGTTTCTCTTGAATAGTTCAAGTACGAGGGGTGTTCAAAAAGTTCTCGGCCCAACCTAGAAAACGTCAGGGTAGTAAAATTTTTCTTACACTGTTTTTTAATATAGTCCTCTCTAACTGCAATGCACTTGGTCCAGTGATGTTCCAGCTTTATTTTCCCATTGTGGAAGAAGGTTGCATCTGGACCCCCCAGATTGGCCTATACCGCATGGATGACGTCATCATTACAATCAAAACGTTGACCACATAAGTGGAACTTGAGTTTAGGAAACAGGTAGAAGTCCAAGGGTGCTAGGTCAGGTGAATTGGAAGGGTGGGGTTAGACTTTAAAGCCAAATTCGTTTGCTACCGCCACTGACCCCTGTGCTATGTGGACAGGTGCATTGTTAGCAGGCCAGCTTGGAGCTTTCCTCTCCTTTTCTCTTTGATCGTTGTCCTCAACTGTCGTAATTCTGCTGAATAGTACTGCCCATTGATGCTTTAACCCCTTCGCAGGTAGTCAATCATGATTACTTCCTTACTGTCCCAGAAAACAGAGGCAAAAACCCTGTCAACGGACGAAAGTCGCTAAAACTTCTTGGGGGGCCGGGAAAAATTCTTCCATCCATTGTTTGCTCTGTTGTTTTGATTCGGGATGAAAGTGGTGAACCCAGCTCATCTTGGGTTACAAATGTTTTTAGGAAATTGCATTCATTGGACTGAATTCGTTCCTTGAAATGTCCCGCCTGTTTAACTTCTGATGTTCAGAAAACATTCGAGGCACCCACCATGCAGACAGTTTGTTCATCCCCAGGATGGTCGACAAAACATTGTGAACTAAGTCATAACACAGGCCAAAGAACCTGCTACATGTTGGCCAGTCTCACATCTGTCATTTACTACCATGTGATGGGTGGCCTCAACGGGATTGTCCGTGGTGCTGATTTGTGGCATCCTGACATATGTTCATCTTTTGTGCTCTCCTTGCCGCGCTTGTAGCTAGCAACCCACTTCTTTATAGTTGAATAAGAAGGGGAGTCATCACCAAGTGTCTTGACCATGTCTTCATGAATTTCCTTAGGGGACATCCCTTTATATCGATACACTTGATCACAGCACACGCTTCTGTTGCGGCCATTTTGTGATTTTGCCCTCACCCACCCCATTTTCACGGGGCGTCACGTGCTAATTAATGAATATAAAAATTTGAATTTTTGTGTGCAGTGATGTAAGATGTCATAGTATACAGCTCTATCAAAGAATAGGAGTTTGACCTTTATTTTCTAGGTGAGGCCAAGAACTTTTTGAACACCCCTCGTAAACAGCCTCCAGTTTAAATCTGGACTTCCACCGGACTTTCCTGACATTGATAACACGCCACCTTGCGTGTTTTCATCAAACAACAATGAATGCAGTTTCGTAGAGTCGTGATCGGGCACGGTTTGCAAGGAATGTATGGCACGTGGACCAGATGTGCGGAATGCGACTTACCAGAATCGCGGTTTGGGTGACTTCACATGAACAAGGCTAAAAACCCTGACTCAAAGTTGCTTAGCTAGAGATCCACCTTTATCATGAGTCTTACAGACTCTTACTATAGTATTTTTTTTTTACAAACTCCCCAGCTTGGTAACCATTTATTTACACCTTTTCCTAAGGCCACACCAATTTAATTTCTTGGTTAACCGATTTTTCTAGAAAAATAATGAAGCGGGCGGGCGAAAAATAAAAAATAAAAACAGGCCTAGGCATCCTATTATGGCCCAAAATGGTACGATAGGAGCCATGAAGTCAACATACCAGGCTGGTTCTAAATTCAAACAATGAATTTTGAACTTTTAATGATACCATAGCATTGATGACTGTAAGATGACTGTAAAATAACTGTAACAACTAGGTTGAAAAGGACTGTTTTCAACTGTTCAGGGCAAAATATGAGCATTTTGCAGTTGATTCTGCATTTTTATTTTTGTTTGCAAATCAGATTGAGAAAAAATGAAGCAGGTGAATCCGTTAACCAAGAAATTAAATTGGTGTGGCCTAACATTATGGTTTGGCAATAAAAGGACAGCCACATATTTTTTCAACTTGGAACAAACTGTTTTGAGCAACAGAATATGCAATAGGATAAAAGCACTGTACAACTGGTGCTGGACACTTGTGTAGTCATGACAGTATCCGATTCTTGATAAAATGGCCAGTGATCACTAAAATTATCATTAATAACATGCTGAATGACGTACTTCCTTGATATACACATTCGGGAATCTAAAATACACATTTTAGATACATATGTATTGGGCAGCATAAATGCATCCTGTTTATCATATAACCAAATCTGTCCAGAGTATTCATACCGGCATATAGCACATTGCCTTTACTGTACATTTTTTCTTGTTTTGCATAGTTCTTACATGTAGTGAAGTTACTACTAGTTCTACACTTACTTCCTATGAGTCACTAAAATCTTAGCTATGAGTCGTATTCAAATTTAAACTTTAAATGCAACACAATAAAGTTCTCTCACCTAGAGCTTTCGACCAGTCACTCTGGTCTTCCTCAGTAGACTGACCCAGTGGGGCTTGTCACATGGCTTCTTTGAAGTGTGACGTCAACACTTCAAAGAAGTCACATGACAAGTCTCACTGGGTCAGTCTACTGAGGAAGACCAGAATGACTGCTCTAGGTGAGAGAACTTTATTGTGTTGGAAGTTTTAACTTTAAACATGTAACTACCAAGACGAACTTTCATGTTAGGCCACACCAAGTAAATTTTATGGATGACGTCCGCGCGCGCATTGATTTTGGCCTCTTCCTAGAAAAAAAACAAAAAATTTCGCTTCCTGTAACTATGACCAAAGAGTCACGACAGTGCTGCAAATCGTCAGATTGACGTGAAACCCGTAACGCGAAATGGGTAAAGAGCAAAAATGTAATGAAAGAAACAGGACAGGACGACAACTGCTGTTCCACCTGATTTATTGCTATTTTGATGATGAATGAAAGACTTCTTGCTTGTTACACTGTGTCGCCTCATTCAATTTGTGTCCTAACATTTGTCGTCTCTTAGTATATTTCTAATCCAGGCATCTTGTTTTTTAGGGCCCTTCTTGTTTTTTTTTCGCCCTCTCGCATTAGATTTAGGGTCTCTAAAGGACGTCATCCATGAAATTTACTTGGTGTGGCCTTAGCTAGGAGTCTTAAGCACAATCAGCATTAGAAAACTGTCAAGACTTTGAAATGGTTTTCCAAGGACCGTGGCTCATCTTCGAAGTGTCGTGTCTCTGTGACTTTCACACCGACTTTCTTCAACCTTTTCAAGAACAGTTTCTCCTCCTTCCCGATCCAAGCCCGCATGGCGTCGTTCACCTGGTAGGGTGTGACATGCACATGTACCTCCACCTGCAGTTCCGCAAAGTTCCGTAAGGTGGACTCGTTGGTCACCCAGGTGTTGGAGCCTCCCTGGTGTCCACCGTCGAGCCAGTACATTGTTTTTACTCGCGCCAATAACTGCTGAAGCTCCGGGATCGGCTTTGCTTCTTGTAACTCAAAGAGAATCTCGTTGAGAACGATGCAGCCTTTACTGAAACCGACAAACGTGATCGGAAGATCAAGTAGTGTTGTTCCATCCTGGCAGCCATTTTGATCTGAAGGACAGGAGCCTTGACTGTCAATCTGCTGCTGCAGTTCACTTGAAATCTGCTGTGTGGCATTGTTGAGAAGGAGTCTCAGGTGAAGCAAGGCGTTGGGATATCTGGGTTCGTCCCCGTACTCGGGAGTTCCCATCACGTTACAGACTAGAAAGTTGTAGCAGCTGAACGTCTTGAGGTGCATGTAGGAAGGTTTGATGACCCAAATGAGGGAGCGAGGGAAGCGGCGAGAGAGGAGTTCAGCTGTGGCCTCCAGGTTCCACTGTTTCCAGTTCTTGTTGTCGCGGTGGGCCTCCATGTTTTCAATGTAGTCCTAAAAAGTGTCAAAATAAACATGAAAATGAAACAGTAACATCCATCATAATCCAATGTTTACAAATATGCTATAGCATGAATGAATGAATCTTTATTTGCATGTTCACGCCATGGGGCTAAATGCATATGTATATATACTAGTACATCAGAATGTGATGTTACATGTACATCATACTGAGTAACATGATACATAGGATACAAGGATATATAACAGAATAACGTAAAAATCTTAACAACTACTAGAGAATAAACTAGGCCTTGAGGATTTCTTGTCTCTTTTTAAAGCAATTGGAGATAAATTAACAAAGTTTTTCTATTGTGTGGTCATTACTGGTGGACATGAGATGACTGAATACCTCTTTCTTTGTTCTACCTTTATACAGTTTGTCTAAGTGGATTGTTCTAAATAGTGTGTCATGTTCAATATCAAACAATTTACAATCAAGTACAAAATTAATAACATTGAATGAATCACGTATTTGTAACGTTTAACGAGCCCTAGAAGATTAGCCCCGTAAAGGGACTAAAGGGTACCTTTATTCAACTTAGGTCACACCAATTTAATTTCTAGGTTAACAGATTTTTCTAGAAGAATAATGGAGCGGGCGGAAAAAAATAAAAAATAAAAAGAGGCCTAGGCATCCTATTATGGCCCAAAATGGTACGATAGGAGGCATGAAGTCAACACACTAGGCTGGTTCAAAATTTAAACAATTTTGAACTTTTAATGATACCATTGCATTAAAAGATGGAATAACTGTAACTAGGAAGAAAAGGACTGTTTTCAACTGAGGGGAAAACATGAGCATTTTGCAGTTGATTCTGAATTTTTATTTTTATTTGCAAATCAGAAAACAATGAAGCGGGAGAATCCGATAACCAGGACATTAAATTGGCGTGGCCTTAGCTTTACACAAATATGCATATGTAACCATGGACACAAATCTATGTTTGCAGAGGGAGGCCTATCTTGGCTAAAATAAATTGTGTCCAACAAGCCACTACGCATAACCTGGGTGCCAGACTGTTTCCAGGGCTCTAGAGCCAACATGCCATGCCCTCATGGAAATTATACCACAGCCCACTTCTGAGATAGGCCCTGATCCTCGCACACTGGCTAACAGAATTGGGCCTTGCGTGTTATAGCCTGGATGCCAGACCCACTATAAGTAACTTTGAACCTAGTGTGCTGTGTGGGTCTGGCACCCAGGTTAAGCATGTTTAAGGGGAGGGACCAGCAAATCACCATGCACAGAACTAGCTTGTGTACACCGATGATTTATTTTGATACATGTACTTATTTTTTGGATAGTTTTTTTTTTCCTGGGCAAATTTTGCTCAGAAAGGCCGAGTTTTCTGTCTAGAAGGACAGAAGAATGTATATTTTCAAAATATGGCCAAAAAATGTGACCTTTTTCATGGTTTAACCTGTCATTGACCTCTAAATACTTGTTCTCTGTATCATGTGTATGGACCTTCCCACTTTGCCGGGGGGTGAAATCCTGGTATCATTTCAATATTTTAGCTGTAGCTCATTAAACCCCGGAGTTGAACTTCCACTATTTGTACCAAAAGACACCTGACAAATCCAGCTTAGCAGTGGGGGTAAAGACTTGAGGTTTGGAATAAATTGGTAAATGTGTTTTAAAGTGTTTGTTTCTAGTGGTTTTAGCATAGACTTTAATGGGATGTCCTTATGCTGGTGGATAGTGAAAACCCCCATGTTGTGTCAAAAACAACATGGCGGAAATCGCCTAAATTCTGAGTAAGGGCGAACTTTGAGGCGTTAATCCGTGGATACAGTATAAGTTGAAGACATTATTTGAACTACACAAGGTTCTCTGTACCTTCCTCATTAAGAAGATACATTCTATGGTCTCATTTGACGTATCGTGACCGTACTACGACTTATTGTATGGAGCCTTCTACTGGTAAGTACTCAATCCGGCGCGTCACAGGCCTGGCATCCAGGCTACACCACGCCCCCCTCCCCCATACTACTAGTATATATAATGGTAAAAACTCCTGCTAACTAACCTGTACATCGCCCGGGAAGAAGACCACATGGTCCCGCGCTTCTCTGCTCCCGCAGAACAACACCTCGTTCTTCCAGCCTGGGCAGCCCTGGACTTCCCCCAGCCGGCGGCAGGGAAGCACCGAGGAGGCCGCGGGCTGGGACCGAGACGACGACACCGCCCCCTCGGCCATGGTCCCTCCCAACCACCGAGGAAACGGCAGCGATCTCCACGCTACGAGCACGGCAACGGCCCAGCGTGCGAACATACAGCGTCCACAGCCTAGGGTTGGAAACGTTAGAGGACGTAAGAGTACGTAAAAGAGTCTTAAATTCTACAAAAATGTGCAAATACGACATGAAAATAAATCATGGAAACGTCGACCTCTCTACGAACTTTGGACACGCTTGACTGGGGGTCAGAGTTCAGAGGAGTCTTCCACATGTCCCGTGTAGGGGTGACGATATTCACCTAAGAATATCAGCTTATAATACCCATACAGAGTGAGAAACATTGGCTATGGCTTTAATATTTGTGGTGGATGCTTTGATAACGTCTTTTCATATAATATGAAGATTTCAAGGTATATAACTAGAATATTTATCCTCTCTCTGTCTCTCTCTCTCTGTCTCTCTCTCCCTCTCTCTCTCTCTCTCCTCTCTCGTC